CTACCTCCTCCTTTTCCTTTTCCTTGTCCGTCTCCTCTTATCCCCCTCCTCCTCCTCCTCCTCCTCCTCCTGCCCTCTTTCTGCCCTCTTTGCCTTTCTTTCTTTGGATCAAACTATTCGTCATGTCCTGGTGGAACGTGCACTTGCGACTTGCTGTCGCCATCGCGACCACCACCGCCACCGGTGCTGCCGCTGCCACCAACGCATGCAACCGCTCTTCATCCACCACTCTTACCAACGTCACAACGCCAACAATGCCAACGCCACAACCCGCCGCCACCAACAACAACGCCGAAAAAAAAAAACCCGGCTACAGCTGCTGCTGCTACTGCTGCTGCTGCTGCTGCTGCTGCTACCACTTCTTTGAATCTGACTGCTAGCATATCTCTCTATGTAGCAATCTGAAAAACCTTTCCAACCTCTGCTGTTGTTGTAGTCCTAGCTGTCGTTGTCGTCGTCGTCGTCGTCATCGTCCTGAAATTCTGTTGTTCTTTATTAATAGTGGTGGTGGTGGTGGTGGTGGTGGTGGTGGAGGTGGTGGTGGTGGCCGTCGTCATTGTCATTGTCGGGGACCGACGAAGGGGGATAGGTGAATGGGAGAATGATGGTATTTCTGAGAATGGAGGGGTGGTAATAATGGCGTTCTCGCATCTGCTGCTACTGCTAATGATGATGATGATGCAGTGTTCATTTTTACGACAATGATGATCACAAATTTCTAGATGCTGGCGATGATAGCTGTGATGGCGGTATTGGTCGCTAGAAATTAAAACTAATGGCGACGATCACGATGAAGTTTATAAATGGTGGCGGCGGCGGCGGCAGCGGCGGTGTTCGTGGTCGTGGTGGTGGTCGTGTTTCCAGCAAGAAGTCGGCGGTAGTGGGGAGGTGACAGAACAGAAATTTCGTGAGCTAACTGTGTGCATATTGATGGTGGTGGTGTTGTTGGTTATAAACTTATAGTTCGCCGCGGGTTTGATTCGAAATATGGAAGTGTCTTTCGCGACCTTCATGACGATGATGATGGGTTCGAGTGGGGTGGGAGCGTAACTGTACTATTGGTACATGTTGGTGACCCCTATGATGATGAGGATGATGATGATATGGAGGGTGGTGGCGACATTTTCAAGAAAGTTGAAGAGAGTGGGAGATAATTTGTTATTTTTAATTATAATGTTGATTATCAAAGGGACGTCTGGGGATGTCGGAACTGTGCCCATTTTGTTCCCTATGAAGGGTAAAGTAAGTAAAAGTAAGAATTAAAATTATATATTACTTATGATCACAAAAACGGTAACCATCTTGATGGTGGTTATTTTGTTGGTGGTGGTAAAATAGTTGTCCTGGTGGTCGTCGTGATAGTGTTTGTCCTATTACTTAGTGGCTAGGGCAGTGATAAACACGGTACGAACAACGGAAAAAGCAACCATGATAATATTAACTGTAATTATATAAACAGTAGTAGTAGTAGTATTAGTAGTAGTAGTAGAGCTATAATAATAATGGTGTTGTGAATTATCTTGTTCCGACCAAACATTCTAATTTTTTTAATTCCTTCTTGGTCGCGGAATTATCAACACCCACTCCCTTCATAGCAGTATGACGACTGATGATTACGATGTAAATTATGACTAGTAACAGTCAATAGGTGAACCGCTGGTAGTCGTACTTGGAAGAAGAAGAAGAAGAAGAAGAAGAAGAAGAAGAAGAAGAAGAAAGAGGAGGAGGAGGAGGAAGAGGACAATGAGGGAAAAAGAAATTGTGGAGCAAAAGAAAAACGGTGATAAAGAGGAGAGTAGAACGAAAGAAGAATGGGCACGTGGAAGAGGAAGTAGAGGAGGAGAAGAAGCGTAGAATAAAAGGAGGAGAGAAGGAAGAATATTCAAAAAGGGAGTAGGAAGAGATAACAGAAGCAACAGAAGAAAAAGAAGGAGGAGGGGGGAGAAGCAAAAGTAAATGAAAACGAACGAAAAAGACTGAGAGAGAAGAAGAAGAAGAAGAAGAAGAAGAAGAAGAAGAAACAAACAAACTTCGAAAACAGGCGGCGAAAGAAAACAAAGGATGATTCTGATGATAATAATCATCGTCATTTAGCCTCGCCAGTGTCATCGTCGTAGTCGTAGTCGTAGTAGAGACGCAAGACGCCATTGTCGTTACCGTGGTAGAAGTGGTGGTAGCAACAGCACGAGAACAAGAAAACGAAAGGGAGGCATCGGGAGGAGGAGAAACGAGGAAAAAGAATGGAAAGAACAAGAGAGTTCTTGTGACGGTGACGGTGCTGTTAGTGCTGGTGGAGGTGGAGGCGGAGGTTGAGCAGAATGGTAGCACCTCCCACCACCTGCTGTCTCCTAACCCTAAAGCCCCGTTTCCGTCCCCACTTCCTGTCCCTTACGTTCGCTCCTCAGCTGCTGCCGGGATTCAGGAGTAGAAGAAAGATTCCTCCAAAGAAACACTGGCAAAGCACCAACAGATTAACCGTGCCCAAATCTTGCCAACGCATCTGGAAAGGGGAGTGGTGGGTTGCGGTGGGGGGGTTGGGGTGGGTACTGGCTCTTGTCAATGCTTATGATGATGATGACGATGATGATACCGATGATAGTGCTGGTAGCGCACAGTTGTGAGTGTATATGTGAGGTTAATGAAAGATTATGATGATGTTATTGGCACAACACAGTGTTCTGATCTGGCATAATGATGATCAATACGATAGTGATAGTGGTGCAATCTAGAACATTGATGATGATGATGATGATGATGATTTCGTCGTGATATCACGTGGAATGGCAGAAATAGCGACTATTTCTAAAAAACAATGGTGATATTAGTGGCCGTTTACAGGTCAGCTATAATCATAATGACACTACGATGAGGCTACGGTAGGAACATTTAATAGTGTGCCTGCGTAACAATAATAATAATAATATGTGATTATGATGATTATGATGATGGTACGCACTGATAGTCTGCAAATGGTGCGTAAAAGAATAATAACAAGAATAATGGCGACGTTAGTGGCAATGAGGCCTCGCCGTAGAGCAAGCTAGTTCAACCGAACTTTGCTGCTGTAGTGAAGTCCACGCAAACTAGATGCTGCACGCTCGTTGACTTCCTACCAGACTGCTGGGTTTGCTAAAGGCACAAGTTCTCCCTTGTGGCTGAGATAGTTGTGTATTCACCACTAGTGGTGGGTGGTCGACACAATGTAATGCCAAAATTTTTAATGCTGATTTAAACAGTGTCTATTTCATCTACTGGCTGACGCGCCCGAGGAAACTTAATAAAGGCAGACAAAATAAACATTGATTAAAAAAACTGAGCATCTAGGCAAATGCGGGGATCCCGTTGAAACATCGTTTTAAGTTCTAAAAATGTCGGATTAAAAAATAAATTACATTAATTCGTTAGAAATATATATATATATATATATATATATATATATATATATATATATATAGTCTTAAGATGTGCTATATTTATGGGATAAAGTGCTCAATATCAGAGATAGAGCGTGTGTAAATATAAAAGTGAACATAGAAGTCAACACTTAGAGGCGACAGTCTGTTTCATGCTACATGCAATCATCAGGCCTGAAACTTTTATATTTATATATATATATATATATATATATATATATATATGTGTGTGTGTGTGTGTGTGTGTGTGTGTGCACGCGCGCGTGTGTTAATGTGTGTGTGCGCGTGTTTAGGCAGCAATCCTTCTTTCATGTACGTTTCATTGAAAACTGTCCGAAAAAAATCAATTGGACAGTTTTTATATAATTTATCTACCGAAAAGAAAAATTATAAGATCACAGGAGCAATTGAATAAGAACTAAATCAAAGCACTTTGTCTATCATATTCAATGAAACGTGCATATATATATATATATATATATATATATATATATATATATATATATATATATATAAAGCAAGTGTAAATGGATATAAATCCGACAGAATGAAGAAATTTTGAAAAACAAACAAAAATCCTTAAATGTAGTTAAAATGAAAGAAATGTCGACGTCTGACGTTTCGGTTTAATAAACCTTTTTCAAGACAATATTCATCAAAATACAATTCAGTTCAATATGACAAATACGATGGACATAAAAACACAAGTCTTATTCAGAACAGATAACTGAAAATTTTTAAAATGATCAGCCTTCCGTCTAACATGGTCACGCCGTCGTCACATGGGCGACGCTTTCATAACGTATTCCTAAAAGTTTGTGATTATTTTGAAATGAAAAAGAAAATGAAAAGAATTCTATTAGGTTCTAAAATTCTTATGTGTATGCTTGTCGAGCATCAATCTCGCTAAAAAATATATATATATATATATGCACGTTATATATATATATATATATATTTCTGATGTCATTTTGTCCAGTGTTAGGGAAATTTTAAAGTTATCTTTCCTCCTGTTTTCTATTGCAGCATAACGTTTACAAGATTTCGAATAAATTCAGAATCCAATTTAATTTTATTCATACGGGCATTGGTAAGCACTGAAACGCGTCTCTTTACTTGTTTGTTAAGGAAAAAGGGCATTTTTATGATATATATATTTATTACGAAAGTCCTAATAATAGAAAATCATCTCTGGATCCAGGAGAACCTGACAAAATAGCACAAACAAGACGATAATTTCGATACATTGTGGGCGTCAAAGTAAAGACTTTATCCCGAATTACTGTGAACTGAAAAAACAGATATGGTGAGCAAGAAATCCTGAAAGAAACCAAACCGTCACCTTCACAAAGAGAAAGGTGCAATTTCGAATACTATTTCCCAATAGTATTTTTAATGTAGACGGTGTAGAGCCACTTTGAATAGACTTGATGGCTGAGCTAGTCAGGAAAACAGTCAACTAACACGACTTAAAAGATCTTTATAATCTTTATATATATGTAACTGAAAAAAAATCATTAACTGCCGCTGGCAAGAGTTCCGTAACTCATAAGATTACTACATGCAATGCAGCCAAAACGTATGTATAAGCTGACGAAAGCCATCCCTCTTTTGGCTGGTTTTGAATTCAGTGTTCTCTTTCTCCTAGACTGCTTACCACCCAAGGCAAAATGCCCAGTCTGCCATGCAATATAACAAATGGATGTAGGATGATGGATTGATGCCTTTTTTCAAGGGTATTAGTGCGAAGTGAAGCAGAATCAGTTGAGATTCGAACTCAGTTCACCGATTTCACATTCCATGTTGATAACGTATACATTATCCGTACATATTTCAATAACTGCATTTTTGTTTTATTTCTTTGTAATAAACAGCTTACAATTAGTATTATGAAATTTCATTCCATTAAAATAATTTATTGTAGATATTTGTAATAAGAACATAATCTGAAATTTTCATTGTACAGTGGCACCTCAGTTTAACGGACTAATACGGGGGCGTCCGTTAAAGCCGTTTCGAGCACTTTTCCGTGGCCTAAAAACCCCCAGTAGAGTACAAAATTATCGTAAATAAATGTAAATATAGTACATATGTATTTGTATTTTATTTTTAAGTTACTATATAGTAACTTAAAATAAATTACACACACACACACACACACACACAGAGGGAAAGTGAGAGAGATGCTGTGTATGTTACGTTTTAAATTTACCTTTAAATAACGTTCGAAAAGATTTAAAGTTTACCTAAATTTACCTTTAAACATATACCTTTACACTCTACACTTTACCAAAATCAGTATAAAATGTCCAGAAGGCGATGCATGTGTGTACACGACGAACGCTCAAGTAAACAACAGCGGCTATTTCCGGAACTACTAATCTCTGTCTGTTGATTGCCCCAGTAAACAACTGCGGCCAATTCTGGAACTAAAGGACTTGGATCGCTACGCGCGGGCGTTTTGATTTCCAACCGGACACTACCATTTCTGCCGATTTTGTCAGTTAAATCAGGAGTCCATTGGTTCTGGGACCGTTAATTCGAGATTTTACTGTATATTTAACATATGGAGATAAGTATGTCCTGACAATTTGACCAATATCAGTTTTTAAAACCAATCTTATTGTAAAAGTATTGGATAGCTTAATATAATCAGACATAGTATATATATATATATATATATATATATATATATATATATATATATAAGTGAACATAGAAGTCAACATTAGGGCGACATTCTGTTTCATGCTACATGCAATCGTGGCCTGACGATTGACTGTATGTTCACTTTTATATTTACACACGCTCTCTCTCTGATATTGAGCACTTTATCCCATAAATATAGCACATCTTAAGACTATATTTCTTCATATATATATATATATATATATATATATATATATATATATATATATATATATATATTGGTCTTTTCAAGGGCATGTCTTCAAAATCACCTGAGGTCTCATCAACTTCGATCCATTGAAAGAAGCCGACAATCTATCCTTGTACCTTCTTGTATACTCTGCCATAAAGTATTCAAGTCAGATTCCGGATTAACAAGATGCATGGAAATACATGTTGATGCCATGACTCCTGGGCTTGGGGATCTGCCCTTTCAGCTTGTAAATGTAAGTCTGGTTTAAAGAGTCATTTGCGCCCTCATGATCAGTGAGTCTGAAAATTATATAACAAAAAAAAAAGGATTGGTTGTGGAGATGGACTTCTGTCATGAAATGACAATCACTATATATATATATATATATATATATATATATATATATATATATCATACTTTAGGCTCTACCTATGTATTGAGCACTGTTTTTTTTTTTAAATAAAAACAAAATATTAAAGAACTTCGGATTATTAACGTAACGTGTTCTTCCCTATTTTTCTATATATTTTCACACACACAGATATATATATATATATATATATATATATATATATATATATATATATATATATATATATATACAGAAAGTCCGGCCAAAAATGTATACACACTTCAGGAAAGGAAAAACTTGCCTTTCGTAGTTCATCAAACATAACACTGTTTACTATGGGGGACCCTAAGGGATGTTGAGTATCGCAGAAAACCGACTACATCTGACAAGAAATTGAAAATGGGTGTGCAGCAATCCCACTGGACACTTTGGCCAATGTTTCCCAAGCAGTAGATCGCCGTATTAAAAAAAAAATGTCTGGAAGCTACAGGCCACCATTTTGTGATTGCCGAGTCCAAGTGTAACTTGTATTAATCTCGTGATCTCTGAATAAACTTAATATTACAATATCTATACAAGTTTTCATTTCCTGAAATGTGTAAACATGTTTTGAGTGGACTCTACATATATATATATATATATATATATATATATATATATATATATATATATATATATATATATATATATATATATATATATATATATGGGGGTAAGAGATAAAAGTATGCTTGAGTGTAACTATAAGTAGATAGAATGTATGTATGTCTATATTGAGCAAACATATTTTGACATTGTGTACATATGGGTTTATGTATGTTATACCTATCTGCTTATTGCATCTCTCTATGAAG